CGCAGTCGGTAGGACTCCTTGGACGGGTGCTCATCTTGTCGCAAGACCGCTGCCAACACAGAGGAAAACACAGACACTGAATAAACGCTCACAGATATCCATTCCTTGAGTGGGATTCGAACCTCGCTAGAGGAAAAGAGCTAGAGTATAATCAGCGCCCCGCTGAAGATCCATGAATTCAAGTCTATCGCGTTAATTTCAGATCAGCCTGATCCCTCCGAATTTAATATAAATCGATACAAATTTTAGCACTACTCCATCCTGAAGGAAGCGTATTGCAGCATGACGACTGAAAGCCGGAATAGCGGAACCAGTGCGGAAGTCCATTGCTAGCCAACGGTTTGATAAGCACGTTCCCGCTGCAACGAATAGACATGAATTAATCCATTGCTAACTAACGGTACTGTAAGGACGTTTCCGTGACAACCAACGGTTTGAATGAATACGCGCTAGGCTAGATAAGGAGCCGTGCAAGAGGAATGAGTATGTCGTAATTCGTAAGGGAGTTCAAGGATTCAGAGAGAAGTAATTCTTCCTTCGTCAATCGTCACAGAGGAAGAGAAGACGTTCGTGGTCCAGTAAGGAATGCAGCGAGTCTTAAGTCATTGACTGTCAGCTGTTATAAGTGGTTGTAATTGTAATGGAATTGCCACTAACTCAAATCATTTAATCCAGAACTGGTTATTAGTTGTCACGGAACCTGTCATACGTGACAATATAATAAAATACAAGTATATATTTTTCGAATTACATTTTCTTTCCCAGAAATGTATTTGCATCCATAGAGAGAAATCGGAGTACAGTAATTTTGGCTATCTTTGTCCTGAACTGATGAGTTTCGGTTGATTACGTGGATCTGCCTGCCAGTCTAGAAGTTACAAAGCTATGAATTATATTAGTGTAAACCTTTGTGCAGTTTTCTTTACGTATATCGCTTGTATTTCAATGGCGTAGGCATGAAAAGCAAAATCCATTCTTTTCTGTACCTGGGTCTTTTCCCTTTAGGAAAATTGTAACATATCACATCCACGCATAAGTCTGCTCAACTTCCCCTTGTGTATGTCTTGTGAGAAATATTCACGAAAAAGTTAAAATGAACTAAGGACAGTTACAAAAGTCTTCTAAAATGAAAAATTATTTCTACAAATTTTGAACAAGGCCTGTTAGATTCCCAGCTCTCCAGAAATATTCCAGTCGTACTAAATTTTTAAACAGATATCATATCCCAGAAACGCTAGCTTCTAAGCTCCTGGAATCAAAAATAACGATGCAGTTATATAGTTTGGAGAGGTCTATAAAGTACGAGCTCTTAATGATGGAAATTAGAGGCATTTGTAGAAACTTCCTCTATCATTTTCTTTGTGGCGGTACCTCTGCTCACAGGAGAGTCAGTACATCCCCTAAATGCCTGTACTAATTATAAAGGAGTTAGAATTATTATTTGGAAGCTTTAGACCACAGTCACGTATAGTAAGATAAAGTTTTCGTTACGTTTACGGAATGAAAATTCATGAAAGATCTAAAACTGTATTTTATTCGGAATGAAGTCTTTATGTTCCACTTGACACTACAGCTCCAGTGGGCCTAGGCCTACCTCCGTGAACTTCTCCGTTCACTTCGGTTTTTCTAGAAGATCAGACTTGGGTCGTCGTACTCGCGGAGAGGAAGCAATGCGTCAAGTAATTGTAAATCAAACTGGGGAAGAACGGGCAGACTGAGCCACAGCAAGGCGTGGCCGGGCACAGCTAGTTAACAATAAAATCCTGTGAAACCCACTGGACTCAAATACAGAACATAATCGATTTTCAATCAATTTGCATTTTCTTCTCGGGAGTTTGAAGGCGCCAGAAGCATAGTATTTAAGAAACAGATCGCAAAACATAAGCCGAAACCGATTCTGTCTCATGGTTTAATATCAATGGAGACCGCATGCGGTGGCCCATACACGTTCACCTACATTCAGTGTCTCGGAACAAGCGAGGGTTATTGTATCACTGTGAACGGGAAACAGAGAAGAATCCGGAAGTGTGCTCAGGTGACTGTCGGCTTTACTTGGCATGTGCAGCTGTTGCCAAGTACAGGCCAGATGTTGCGTTATGCAAAATCGTAACTGTGCGCTGTATACCGCCTCTCAGATGTTCGCAGGACTTGCAACGTAATTTATCTGCATAACTCGTGGGATTGCGTTTGAGACTGACTACAATAACACGATCTGCGGCCTAGTTTTTTTTATAGGTAATGTGCCTAGTGCTCAAACCACTTAACAACTCATTTCATATATCACACATTTATTTAGTACTTGCAATTTTGTATATTTCAGATTTACCCTCCCCATGTATCATGAATGTACGATTCATGTACGAAGCATATGTTTATACATTTTTTTATAATACATTAGCTATATTACGACGCATTGTTGCACAGCACTTTATTTTTCACTTATTTATAGATTATTTAAAGATTCTTTCTATATTTCAGATTATATGGCATAGGGTATAATTTGATTTGTGAAAAATGGATTGAAAGTTACTGCAATGAATCAGTTATGGAATAATTTTAATTGATATCCAAACATATCTTAGGAGGGACTGAGTGAAACTTCGAAATCCTCAGTCAGCATAGCTAGACCCCGAGGCTGAGACTTGAAACCGAGACCTTCCGAATACGAAGCACGAATATTAACCAATTAACCCCGATATTCAGTTACAGCATTTTCTTTACTACTGTTTTATAGGATACTGTTGTTTTATCACCGTTCTTCATAATAACAACATTTCTTAACGCTCTGTAATCAGTGACCCAAAATATTTGCAGATTATAGCAGTGAGTCTGAACTTGACAGTAATCTTGTTGCGTACACCTCATGAAATTTGTGTTATGGATTATTTATCATAATATTAGTGGTTAAACTACAACACTGCGCCTTCAAAATGGTCACACTATTAAACGTTCTTTACTGTGTTACACAGATAATTTATTAGGCAATATTTCATTACTATCCTCGTAAGTATAAATATTTTCAGTTCCATGTCCATAGCGACCTCTATCATTCATTATTCGCGATTACCTGTCAACAATTTTTAGTTCCGTTGGGATCAAATTTTTTGCGTTCTGTGACCGTAACTACGCGTTAGATATTGTTAAGCTATGGTTCTGTTCTTCATTGTTAACAAGCGCCTTTAACACCACGCAATACGTGAGCTTGTCCCGCAGGTTTTTAATTTTTGTTGTAATCCAGGGTTTTAACTACGACACAAATATGCCTACGCAGAAGTTTATTACCAATAACACACAAAATTGAAGGGATAAAGAAGGGTAACGTGCCTTCATCTTGTGACGTCACAACAGTAACGAGATTATTCGAGTTATCGTGACTAACATCCCAACGCTTAACGATACCTGAATGACGCGACAGCGTAATACTTTATCTCACGCCAGGCGTTATTGGGTTTGCAGCGCAGAGTTTCATAAGCCAAAACTCTTATGGGAAGAAAATTAAACTCAAAAGACGTCTCCCAACAGGGCACAAAAAATCAGCAATATCCCTGACACTGCAGTCTTATTTCGTGGGAACCAAGGTTCTGGATTATAGTGTGACTTTCTCTACGGACAGTTCTCAGATAATGGTGTTACATCCCGGCTGCTGATATCCGCCTCTCCGCGACAGGAATCTTAATGGACTAACATAAACCGGTGAAGAGTTCAAGGACAAAATGATAAAAAAATCCCTTACAATCATCTAACATCTATACCTTGAGAAGACCTACTTTCATTTTAGAACTGTCATGACAAAAACATTCGCAATAAGTTAAAGTAAAGTAGATGTTCTACCAATTAAAAGCTTACATTATCAGATCTCCCGAACTACTTTTTTTTTCCTTGGCACTACAGCCCCAGAGGGCCTAGGACTACCTCCATGAACTTCTCCGTTCACTTCGGTTTTTCTAGATCTTACATAATCGGTAGGAGTCCTTGGACGCGTGATCAGCTCGTCGCAAGGCCTGTACCTGTATACAAACACAGAAAATCGCACACACACAAACTAAACATCCATGCCCTAAGTGGGATTCGAATCCACGATCCCGGTTTCCAAGCGAGCGAAGACAGTACATGCCTTAGACCGCTCGGCTACCGTGACCGGCCCCGAACTACTTTGCTTGTACAAAACTCATACCTATTCTCGTCTGACGAAATTCAGTGGTAACTGTTACTGTGTTTCCAGCACATGCGCTCTCGAATTTGCAATCGAATAGCTTGTGTGGAAGGCAAAGGGCGGTAGGGGCTGACGCCTGTATCATAATAAACAAACTTAATAAATGTGTGTGACACAGATTAATCATGCTATTGATTTATAACCGAGAGGAAAAGCTACTGCTATATCGTGGCCTTCAGAGCTACTTCCCCTCATATTTTGTGGCTCTACGCTGTAAATTTATAATTTTTTCACTGGCTCTACAGCCCCTTGGTATCCTGGCCTTTGATTTTCAGTTTCATGATCATTTTACAGACGGTAGGACTCTTTGGACGGATGATCAGCTCTTCGCAAGGCCTTTACCTAAACACAGGACAACACAGACACAGAATAAACACATAACGTACCAAATATATATGCCTTGTGTGGGATTCGAACACACGATCCCGACTTCCGATCGAGTGAAGACAGTACATGCCTTAGAAGGCTCGGCTACCGTGACCGAGTATTTTGCTCTTTCCAATTCTTTACGTGAATTTCTTCCTATGGATTCAGTGAACGTTTTTCCCGCATCTCCCAGACATTTTATAACTTCTTACTAATAAGTTTATTGCTCAGTGTCTGAACTCCTTCCATTTCAAATGTGTAGTTTAACTTTGTTATTTCATGTTTGATTTCAGTGTACGGACGTTTCGGCTGCTGGTCTTTGACGCCTTCAGAAATTCCTTCCTTTCATTCATATTTACTCCTTCACTCATACACCACACACCACACACATTTGTTTGAAATTATAAACATTGGCACTTACATGTACTCCTGGTAGCTCTCGATGCTAGGACCATCCGGCCATTCGGCGTAGCAAACAATCCGCGTGCCACCGTCTGAGAACTGGTGGGCAAACGTGGTAAAAAAGAGCAGGTTGGGCATCGACAGAGCCGTGCCCACAACCCAGATGCCCAGCGCGATGCACAGGGTCGTTCGGCGTCCCATTCGAGGCCGCAGTGGGTACATAATTGCCATGTACCTGAAATTGGAGCAGTACACTTTGAGAGTCATGCATTCCTAAAGGCAATTCTATATTTATATCTTCACAAAACGATGCTTTGAGACCACTTCAGATAACCAGAAATACTACCGGATCTGAAGTAGTGAAAATATTTGTCGTTGTTGTTAAGTACAAACCAAACTGAAGAAATATACGTTTTGGAAAAGCATCAGAGTTCTGTATTTTTAGTAGGTCGTTTAACGAAGCTGTCATTATCTAAAATACATATATAGATCTCTATATAATATAATGAGATAAGAAATTTATATTTGACATTTAGAGAGTTACAATAAACTTAAAACTACTTACGCAGCATCCTACAAATTAAAGAGAAAAGATTAATTCTACTATGTACATTTGAGCGTTCAAGAAAACTTGTGTATTTATAAAGAATTTGTAACTTAGTAGATGACAACCCTAAAAGAGAATTTGTCTCGCTGTCTCCTCTATCTCTCCTAGCACGAACTACAGCAAGAGAAACCTGAATGAAATCATAAATCATTAATTCGGTATTTAAGTCACGTTTCGCCTCATGGGTGCTAGGGGCCAAAGTCTTTCTTCTAAAGTGTAGGTCAAGAATTTAAGAGCGTTATAGAAATTAACTGTTTATTATGAAGATTAAGATATTCTGACATGTAACGCCATGTAGTATGAAAGAAGTCCTCTGAAATTTCGGAGGAACTTGCCGTCGTTTCTCTGAAACATCTGTGGATTTCTACCGAACTAAACGAAGTAACAATCCAGGAGATCACAGTTCACAGTCCCCGCTATGAAAGACTCAGACTCAATAGCTCACGAAGACTTCAATGACCCAGATGTACCACCATCATCTTCTTTCCGAGGGCTGTGCTTTAAACGCCTCTTCTTTAGTTTCGGATGAGGCCGACCCTTCCAAAATGTCCAGTCCTTCATTTCCCATAGCCCAGCCGAAGATCCGAATATTCGCTTTATGAGCTCGAGCTCTACGGTCTTCCTGAAGATCCTACCGGAAGTCCTCTTCTTCCTCTGACGTAGCTGCCATCTTGCGCCTCGGTCCACATGCTGTTACTGCATTCTGGACCCGTCCGTCTTTTCTTCTCGATCCTCGGTCCTTTATGACCGTGTCCCTTACGCCGTGCAGAAACAGCACGGCAGTTCATCGGTCTGCGGGCTGTGGCCAACTTTGCCGGGACTCGTCATAACCCTGGGTCCGTTACTTTCTTTGTCGGCAGGGCCTCACGACGAGATGCCGTCCCCATATAACGATCTAATTCCGTTTTCAGTCCAGCAATTCAATCCAATCGATCAATCAATACTAACAATTTATCCCACTTTTGACAACAGTTGTCACGTGTATGAAGTGTGACTGTATGCGGGTTTTTGATTGATGACCATATTTTTTTTAAATCTTTGATACAACGATTGACTACACTTTACAGTTTACTGTTACACATGTATACGCTAGTGTCCACAGTGACGTCTTCACCGTCAACGCTTGGTAACGGCTTCCAACGGCGGACGTTCCCCTTCCTTTAGATTCCCAAACTTCCCCGGCCTGAACGACCAGCATCTAAGAGCAACAGCTCAAGAGGGCCGACCGCAACAGTTCCCTGACTCTACACTGACTGCAATAGTCAGAGCCAAATTGAGAGTTACTTTACGACTGGTGGCTTACCGCCAATCAGTTCGGTCGATCGGTTAAATGGCTGCTGGCCTTCGCCAGTACAGCTGATGCTGCTTGAAACATCTTGGAACGGGCAGGGTAGGAAAATAATCTTCCATTATTTTTGTGTTCTATCGTTGCCGTGGAAACATGCCTGTTTGCGAAGTTCTTACTGAGCAACGGCTCCTCAAACAAGCATGTTTCCATGGCAATAACTGGCAAAAGCGATAGAGGAATAGTGTTTTCTGTGCGGTACATGTCTGGATGTTATAAACAGGACAGTTTGTGAGAGTAGACAGTTATCCTGTGTGCAGGCTGATTCGAATACCTTCACCGTGGCCCTGCGAGTCGTAGGAGAGGATGAAAAGGGAGCCCAGTGTCTGGGGGTATAAATGGGCCACCATATTTCGGGGGGATAAATACGGAGACCTGGCCCTACAGGTTGGGGGGAGTCTCGAATCTAAGACACGAGTCCCACGGCACTCGGTTCCGAGAATGACTGTGCTGGCGAGGGCCAACAGCAATTGTAGACGACAGACTCGTTCTCTTCTCAGAGAGGGCGCCAAAAATCAAATATCCGAAACTGTCTAACAGTAACAAGAATATGGTCCTGGGCCCCAGATAGGTACTTGATACCTAGATAGACCGGCCGACTGACCGTCGGTCATAATATAACTTGGACTTTGACTTTAATTTTGGAAGTCGACAGTTGGAATAGCTAGTTAATTGTGAGACTGTCGTAAACCGGCAAAAATATCAGCAAGGAAACAGAGGACAGTGTTGGGATCCGTCACTAGGCAATGACTTGTGAAGATACAGGAAACTGAAAAAACTTTATCTTTGAAAAGTGTAAATGCGTGAGACTGTCGTTGCTATTTGTAGTTACGTTCTGTAAATGTTAAATAAATCCAGTCACAAATCCAATCCCCTTATATACAGACACTCAGATCACCTGACAATATAGTATTGGAGCAATTAATTTAAATTACTTGGGTGTCTTAGGGGATACCTCTAGAGCATATTTTCATTATTCTTCTCCTGTCACTAGACACGTAAATATTTCCACCTTAGGCTGGGGCCACACGAGCGCACGAAGTATGTCCGTTGCAACGAACGTACTTTATTACGGACGTTGCTGAGGATACCACACAGTTGCAGAATGCGGTGCGTAGTTTTTTGTCTGCAATGGAGCCAGAAGAAAGCGTAGCATTCGCCTCTCTTGTTTATTTCTACAACGGACGTCACGACGTGCGTTATAACGTACGCATTTTATGCGCTCGTGTGGTCCAGCCTAAGTAAGCCGAAAGAGCAAGAGGATATACCAGACTCAATGAACGACACAAAACTAGATGCATCACTTTGTTCTGACGATGGAGCCTAAAATAAAATGAACATTCTCCATTTCGTGCATAGCTTTACTCTCCATTTCTGTTTATCAGAGTAGAGAATAACAAATTTTAACGTGGAATTTACACGTACAAGTGACATCAAAACAAACTGATAGAATGGCTATTCAACTCAGTTTCGCTTATGCAACAAGGATGTAACTCCAAGCTACGTAACGATTCGATTTTAGTGTACCAGGATACCGCACACGTGATTAGAGAGCTCCTCCTTCTTCGAGGTATTACTGGCAAGGAAAGTCGTTAGACCTCACAGCGACCCGACAGAAGACCTGTCCCAGGTGCCTCGAAGTGCAAATGGAGCCAACCACACGCTCGTTGTTTTGTAGCGACACTTAGCGCAACAGTGGAACAAGCAGCAGTATGTACTATTACTTGGACATTGGATGCTGTGATTTATACACATTCCCATAGTATTGGCAGGATAGTTAGTTCAAGGGTATCATACTGAACTGCAGTTGCAAACAAAAGATGTGCTTGCTCTAGAATGCTGTGAGAGGAGATAACTAGGAGAAAATAAGTGATTCAAAGCTAACGATAAAATGTATTACAGATAGACTGTGTGGACATCAGTCTGTGTCCGCCTAAGTTTCAGTGCGTAAATTAACATTATCAGTACTCAATTTTAGGCTTCTGTTAGTAGGAAATAGTAGACCAATTGGAAAGCATGCTTTATATTTTAAGTATGAATAGTCTGTTTTTCTTTCTAAGTTTATTATTGATATTTTATGCGATACACCTTTAACCGTTACAGATCATAATATATAAGCAAGTCGTATAAGTTCATCAAGAGTATCTAATTTAATAAGAGAAACTGAAAATTTTATTTACATGTTTCGGCCAATACTCCTAACATCAGAAGACAGGCCAATGCTGCACTTTAGAGATATTAACTGAACTGAAACTTGCGCCGTAATATCATAAAGGGTCTTAAAAGAGCAACTGTTAATATAGTTAAAATAAACTGCGTATATCACTGGTAATATGTTAAAATCGCTTAAAATAATTTAAAAATATGTTGTTGAGGTAATCCGAAATGGAAGCTACTTTAGGATAATAACATTTTGTACTGTGGTGGATATTTGGAAAACATTTAGGTGTAATATTTATTTAATGTTTCTCTGTTTACAGGGTAAAAAAATAGCATGAAAACATTTTGAAGTACTATGTTTATCAAATAATGACATATGGAGCTAGGAATGTTGTGTCATGTAAATAAATAAGTTATACACACACACACACAAATTGAGGTGAGGCATCTTTATGTTTTACCAGTTACAAAAGGTCAATGGTTCAACTGTTTTAAATAGTAACTATTCAAGTAAGTGGGTCGTTGATTTTATATATTTCAAGTATGGAACATCCACTGGTGTACATTTTCATTGAGAGTAAACCAAGGTGGTTTGATCACAATCTAATCGAAGTAGATTGTGATCAAATATGAATTATTATTTGATAGTTCTTACGTCAGAAATTACAACACCGTGAAGGTACCAACTTTTCATTTTATGTCGGAATTTTTTCGAGAATTTGAAACCTATTTCAGAGACCCAATTTGTACACAGTAAAAAGACCAGGACGTTTTATATTTAACGATTGTTTGACTATTATAATCTATTAAATTATCATACATCACACGTATAATAGTAACAGATGGAACTATTGCAGAAAGCAATGAAGATTCGTGATATAAGACACGATTATTTCAATAAATACTGCCACAGTACACACAGCATTTGCTTAAGGTTATCAGTCTAGCTTTCCTTTACGTCCGCAAAAGTTTGCACTAAACTTCGCCGACAAGCGGCGGTCGCTCGGTCGGTAGAGTTCGCTCGCGGACTAAAATCACGGAGTTTTTTTCTACGTGCGATCACAACCGTAAAGAGGGCACAGTAAGTTCCTTATGACAGTCAGTCTGTCTAGAAACGTGAAAC